GCGCCCACGTGGGGGCATGCTGCGGGTGTGGGGTGACCTGACTGGCTCTGCCTTGTCATCTTGCGTAGGAGGCTGCACCTTTGTCGTGTTCTGGCTTGGAAATGTTCCTCCAGCATCTCTTCAATTCCAACCACTATAGTCCAAATCCTTTTTGAATTCCTCCTGCCGACACTCCCAAAAAACTGCACCGGTTGGTTCTTGTGGGTTTGGGCCAACTTCGAAGGATGGATTTAGACCATAGGCGAGTTTGACCGGTATACTACTCGAAGTATACCGGTCAAAGTTTTAGGTCAATCCTCTGACGATTCATCACTTCCTTTCGAGCTCGACTTTACTGACCGGTCGATTTTCTGGTTCGGATCTTTGACCGGTCATGGGTGAAATACACCCATCAGAGAGTTTAACTTATGACATTATAATACTGTATAATGACATTTCACTATATTTTTTAGTATTATATGTTAGCATTATTGAAATTGTACTCCTATTTTAAGATAAGAAATATAAAACTTCTTTTTTATTAATTTCTTCATATTTAACATTGAAATTATTTTTCATCCACTAATGTCACAAAACACAAGAAAATAGAATAAAAACTTTTCTCGAAAATATTTTCTCCCTACCAATTACACTATTAGTTTAATCCTTTCTTCATCTACTTTCTCTGTTCCTAAAAATGGGATGTTTTGATTTTTAATGGATTTAAGAATAGTGTATTTTAGTGTTGAGTTTTCAAAAATATCCTTAAATGTGATAGAATTTAGGATTGAGTGTGGATTACTGAATTGGGAAAATAAGACACTTGGTCTGAACCACATTAAAATATTGAATCAATCGATTAGTTAGTTCAACTCAAGAGCTTATATACCGATTATTTTACTCTTGAACTTCTGATGTGGGATGCACTTTAACAGTTCCCCTCAAGTGGATAACCAGGTCATTTTGAATCTAACCGGTTGACCACTTGCAAATGAACTCTCATTCCCTTGAGTTTTTTAGCGCCAACACCTAAAGAATCACGAGCCACTGTGTATGAACTTCCAGACAAGCAATAATCGTGTTAAACGGGCCACAGGCCGTTGGGTACATACTCCGTACAGACAACTGGGCTAAAGACTAACGGGCCACTAGGAATGAACGTCTAGACGGACACCTTGACAAACGAGGTAGGCCAAAATCTACCCCGATACCTCCAAGAAGGTAAGGTTAGCTGATCCACGATCCCACGTCTCTATACTATATTCATCAGTCTGAAAGTGCTGGCAATTCCTTGACAAAACATCTACTCAAAGGGGATAATTATATTATGATATGTGGGAGAAAACAATTGTCAATGCGTTAGAGGGACGTAGTCGCGCCAGTTTTTTTAACCCTTACGGGTGTTCCCAAGCCAAACGACAAACAGGAGCTTGCGGCATGGAAGGCTAATAACTCTATTATTTGCTCTTGGATATGCAATAGTGTTGATGAACATATTCAACCGTCTATTACTCCGTAATTCTCAAAAAGTGGCTCACGAGTTGTGGTTAGATTAGAAAACCCGGTATGGGGGGTCTAATGGCCCTTGTGTTCATCAATTGAAATCTGAACTTCAATCTCTCCAGCAGAATGGTCAAACCCGTGGTGGTTTATTACAACCAATTTGTGACCCTTTGGAACAAACTTTATGGTTCGGTCGATCCTACGTGCGGCTGCTGCACTCATTCGAGCTCGAGAAGAACAAGAGAAAATCACCATTTTTGCTTGGTCTTGACGATAAACAATTTGGCCACATCCGTTCCCAATCATCGCAATCGAACCCGTCCCTGACATTCACCGGGCTTATGCTTTGATACCATGATAGAATTTAGGATTGGGTGTGGATTACTGGATTGGGAAATAAGACACTTGGTCTAAACTACATTAAAAGATTGAATCTAATCGATTAGTTAGTTCAACTCAAAAGCTTATATACCGATTATTTTACTACTTGAACTTCCGATATGTGATGCACTTTAACAGAATGTGATGAGTAAATGTAGAATTTGATAGGCAAATTAATAGTGAATAGATGTGATATGATAGGTAAGTTAAAAATTAGTAGGATTAAAATTAACTTTTTAATAGAATTGAAAAAGTTTTCTATGACGGATGAAAAAGAAAGAAGAAAAGTCTTCAGAGAGGAAGTATTAAAAAGTACTTCCTCCGTCCCGCTATATTCGTTCACTTTTGAATTTTAGAACTGTTCATCTAAGCACTTTGACTCATCAAATTCTCTCAATGTGTTATTTGATTTGTCTTAACATATAGATTATTAATATATAATTTCTATAATTTTTTAATATACAAACTACAAGATAAAATAGATTAAAAAAATGTATTGGATGACGTGCAAAAATGAAAATGACCAAATATAGTGGGACGGAGGAAGTATTAAAGCTAAGTTGGTAGCTTTTTTTCCAAATTAAAATATGCGGTGGAAATTTACCCGACCCTTAAGGATAAGGCCGCACAATAAGCAATCTTAGAATCCAATTTCTCATCGTCTCTCCCCACAATTCTCACTTGGTTCTCAACAATGGCATCCTCCATTGCAACAACTTCCATGCTCACGGTCAAGCCCAGCATACCCATCAAATCATCATCACCTGTCGTTACCCACTTAAAGCCCAAACCCATCTCACTTCCCTCCCAGCAAAGTCTCCCGCCCAAAGTCCTCTCCGCCGCCGTTCCCTCCTCCCTCGCCGCAGCCGGGGCCTTCTTCTCCGCCCTGGCCACCGCAGATCCGGCGATCGCAGCGCACCAGATATCGGAAATCGCCGACGCCGCGGCCGCCGACGACAACCGCGGGCTGATCCTATTGCTGCCCATCGTCCCGGCAATAGCCTGGGTGCTCTTCAACATCCTCCAGCCGGCGCTGAACCAGCTGAACCGGATGAGAAGCAGCAGCAAGGGCGTCATCATCGGGCTCGGTCTGGGCGGGCTGTCGGCGGCAGCCCAGCTCCTCCACCCGTACGCCGCCTCGGCGGCTTCCGCTGACCTGACGGGAACGGCGGCGGAGGACAACAGAGCTCTGCTGTTGCTGGTGGTGGTGGCGCCGGCCCTTCTCTGGGTGGCTTACAACATTCTCCAGCCAGCTCTGAACCAGATCAACAGGATGAGATCTGGATGAATGTTTAATTACGGAGTATAATTTTACTAATTACATTTACTTCTGCAATATTTTGAACTGTTTTATGTGTTAAATGTATTTAAAACCTCTTTCTCCTATTTTGAGACCCAAGAGCTTAATTTCTCCAAACATGCCCAAGGGCATATCACATATTCACATATGACACCTCTAGTATGGAAAATGCTAGAAACCCACCACCCCGCTCCCACGATACAGAGGATTTTATACTTGCATAGATGATAATCGTCTGTGTTGTTTATAGATGATTATCGTGTGTGTAGATATAAAATCATCTGTCTTGTCATGAAGACGGGGACGTTGTAGCACGGTCCATTTGACATTTTGTGCGTGCATGAGGCACAATGGTGTCAAAAATGATGTCATATGTGGTTTGTCAAACACAGATGATTATTATTTGTTTACTTATAAATTCTTGTCATGTGTAAAGACATCGGTAATGGGTTCCTAACATGATCCTTTGAGAGTCCTACATTGATCTAGTGGACTTCGAAATGGGTTATACCCATGGCCATCCTCACAAACGTGCTTCATATCCAATAGAGTATTGTAGGGTAGGGTTATAATGTCCTAACTCCTAATATTATGACCTAAGAAACTGGGGTCAAAAACTTGTTTGTTAAGCTCACTGTCTGTATGACAGTATGAAGAGAAGGTTGGAGACATGTGAGACAACTTGGCTGAATTCCTTTGTGATTGTGGTCTTGTTTGACATTAATTTTAGGATTTAGTTTTAATGTTATAAAATGTTGTTGAATAGTAGCTTTTAATTTTATCATTTCCAACATGAATCTATATTATTAATAACTGTCCAATATATTACATTTTGAACGATAATTTGTTTTATGGAAGAGTTTGGCTTTCGTACTTTGGTGTTTATCAGAGAAATTATTCATACATTTTGGAATCAAAATAGGGAATGCAAAACATAACACAAGAATCAAGGCAAGAAAATCTAAATGAAAATGTAATGTACAAACAAAGCTTGGATTTTATTAAGTACTAACACCTCAATGAAAAGTTAATAAAGAGAAAGAAAGAAAAGGAAATAAAGAGAAGGCTTTTTCTTAAATCTGCTCTTAAACTTTAACCACAACATTTTTTCATTAATTCTGTGAATAAAATGTAAAGTACAACCATACAATTCCACCTTTCATACATTTGTATGCCACTCTATTAGTGGGATGAAGAGAATATAATAAGTTTATCCAAATACAATAATAAAAACAACAAACATGGTGAAAAAAATCTTGGTCATGAGACTCGAGGACAAAAATGTTTTGTTGGAGAGGGTGTGGTGGTGGTGGGGTGTGGGGGTGGAACTCCAAACATTACTTCTTTTTTCCCACTGGGTGATGGTTTTGGTTAACCATGCTTGAATTGGGGGTCTCATGGAAATAGCCTCCCAATTTTCGAGTAGAGGTAAGGTATGCGTACACCACATACCCTCATCATACCCTACTTTTTAAATGGGATTTTACTGGGTTCGCTGTTTTCAACAGGGACCAAATCAATAGGCTGATCCTCAGGACTGAGTTGGGCGGCTTTCTGCCTAGCACTCTTGAATCGCTTAGAGCTTCTCAGAATTTCATCCATGCTTAACTTCTTTGCACTTGAAAGTCTGTTGAAAACACACACAGCATATTGTAAGAAAATATAGGTGAGTAGTCTGATTAAGCGGAAATTAGAGAACCGGTACCCGTCAAAGATGAGTAACACATGAATACCAGCAGGGCACATAAGCAATGGAATTTCAGTGAAAACAAGAAAGACATGAAATTAGACAGATATTGCCTAAAGTTGATGATTAAAATGACAGCATTAAAATGAACAAGCTTTACAAACTCCTAAGCGATTCAAGAAAGTGCAGTCCTGAAAAAAGTGCAGCACGAATTTCTAGAATCACTGCTTGCAGGAATAAACTTAACGAATCTTTGGGATGGAATCTGGCCTTTGGTGGCCAGATAGGATAATTACGTAAAACTAAGTGGTGTTTGACGGTTACAAATGTCGGAACTGTTCCTCCTATATTTATGTCATTTCTAGAATTTTATAAACCCAGCCAGAATCTATCCCCATGTCATTGCTCTAAATGTAAAATATGAAAACTTACTTGAATAATAAATTACTCCGCTCATGACTGTTGTTCCTTTTGGCGCCATTGAGTGCTATCAATTCAAGATGGATATGAAATATATCAGTTCATATTGCAAAGAGGAAAAAATACTTTAACATATATCTTACAAGTTACAACATCTTGAATATTGTAAAATCCTTACGGGTCCATTTGGTACATAGAATTGACGGAATTGGAATTGAATTGGAATTAAAATTCTTTGGAATTGATTTGAATGGAAATGAATTTTCCCATTCCAATTCATTTTTGGCAGTACAAATTCCAGATCCACATATTTTTGTGCTACCAAACAATAGAATTGGATTTGTTATTCTCAATTCCAATTCCATGATTTAAATTCCGTGTACCAAACAGAGCCTACAAGTGTTTCTCTTTTAGTTTTGTTATTTGGGTTGGGTGTAAATCTACTTGCATAGCTCATACCATAGCTCACATCAAGCATATAGCAAATGGGACTAAAGTAAGAAGGGCTTCTTTTTGGATGTTGTTTGAGACTAGGGCCATCAAGGATATGGGTGCCTCAATTAGCTGGAGTAAAAAAAATCCGACTTTTGTGCGTTTGGCCATCATAAAAGAAGCATTACAACAACAACAACATTACCCCAGTGCCTCAACGGCTCCCGCCCATTGTGGGGTAAGGTGGGGTCGGATGTACGCAGTCTGACCCCTATGTTTAAAACATAGAGCGGCTGTTCCAGATGACACATGATGAGCGTCGAAAGTTGCATTGACTAATGGAGTATATAATTACAAAGAGTAGAATGGAGTCCAACTAAAAGGAAGACATACTCATGTGTTCAATAGAAGAGATATTCTCATTTTTCTTTAATTAGTTACCTAATTATATATAGAAATTATCCATTAAAACACAAGCATGTATGCACATTCTTAGTCATGACATGGATAATAAGGATCATATAATGACTGCTCTACTGAAGAGAACTTCAGAGGGAAATGAAGAATTCAATGTGATACGTACCATTACTGGAAGAGTGATGACCTAATTCACTTCCATTTTCCGAGGAGTCAGATGATGATGACGGCAATGACGATGATGATGATGATGAACCTCTAGATGGAGTTCGAGTACTGGATTCAGAAAGTCCAGCCCCATTTTCATCATCACCATAATTATGGGATATCTTATCCTTAGAACCAGCAGTCGGCGTAGTAATAGCCTCTGTGACCTTACTCGTACCCTGTTTACTAGCCAAAATCTTATGATTTGAGGGTGACTGTGATATATCTTTTTTACTTTGGAGAGACTTTTGAGAACTTGTTGGTGTTGAGGTTGATTTATCAAAATGCTTTTTATTTTCAGACACGCATGGAACTGCCTTTTTGCTCTCTACTCTAAGGTTCTTATGAGAGTGCTGTTTGACCTCGTCCTGTTTGCCATTTCCAAGTTTAATGTTGCTACTATTCTCATGTTCATCATTCATACTATCATCTTGGGCTGGTGAGTTATCCAAGCCTCCTGACCCAGAAGGACCAGTACCCTTTTCTGATTTCTCCTCTGCTGCTTTAGTGTCCCTGCTCAATTTCACTGTTTTTTCAACCTTATCAGCAGCAGCACACTGACCTTGTGAACGAGGAACAAAGTAACGCCTGAAGTCAACCCCTTCATCATTATCATTACTGACCTGACCATGTAGCTGCATCTCACTATCATCCTCAGGATTTTCATGTGTCTGCCCTTTATTGGGATTACTTTCAGGAAGCTTTACATCAGTAACTGCAACTTGGGCAAGCTGAGCATCTATAGTAGTTCCTGACCCCTCAGCAACATTAGGTGGATGGTTAACCAACAACATTTTCTCATTTGAAGCTACCAATTTCTCAACACCAACTTCGTGATCATTCATGGCCAAAGCCGTGAGGGTCCCTCCAGCAGCACTTTTCTTCCTTTTTGGCTTGTGTCTTGCTTTCTTTACTGTATTCTCTGGATCAAAATGACCCGTACAAGTTTGAGTAACCTGCAAAGGTCCATCCTCGCTAAGTCCTTTCTTTATAGACATATATTCTGCCCCACTCTCCTTGGCCTTGTCAATTTCCATACGAAGAGAGTCTGCAATAGGAGTATCAATAGGTACTTTATTTGATGCATTATCTATTTCCATACAGTGCGAGAGGCTCTGGTCCTCAGATCTACCATTAAAACGATCAAGGGTGGGGAGCCCTGAAGCGACCCCCAAAGCAACACTTGAAGGATCTGCAGAAGAAGAGCGTTGATTGGATGTCTGAGATTTCTTTGACTTCCTCTTCTTTTCACTTCCAGCAGTGTTTTCCACGTTTTTCTGTGCTTCTGGAGATGCACAGCTTGCTGATTGCATGTTTACATGTTTTCCTGTTGGCTCCTCTTTCTCCAATGCTGCTATGCTTTGGCAGGTTTGAGTGTGAGGCTTCGAGTGTTCAGCTTTTGCAGTACTGTCAACCATAGGTTCAACAAATTCCACATTTAATGCAGTTGAAGAAATTTCAGTTACCAGATCATTATCATCTGCTTTCTCTAATGTAAGCTGACTCTTTCTTGCAGTCTTCTTGGCAATTTTTATCTTCCTACTTCTTTCTGTATTTCCACTTTCAGTCCTCTGGACAGAATCCAACTTAGATGAGATGGTTGCGGTCTCACCAATCTGTGTGGGCAGACACTTTTCAAGTGTTCCCAAATCAGGATTGCAGGTTTCACGTAACTTTTCATCTTTTGCATTCCATTTTTCTTCATCTGCTTTCATATTGACCACTATATTTTCAATTTTCCCAGTCTTATCATTCTTGTGGTCATCAGTGTCAAGCTTGGGTACAACTATTTGATCAATATTTGCTGTACCTGTTTCACATTGAAGCTTCACACTATTCTTCTTAGACTTCTTTTTCTTAGATCTCTTATTGTGCTCTATGTCCCCCTTAGACGGATCAGCTTCAATATTTTCCACATCACTTTCATTGTTGATCCTGTCATGTTTGTCAATGGGCATGCTGCTTTTAACATTCAAGATCTCATCAGCTGCACGATCAAGGGTGAGATTCAACATAGATATTGAATTGTTACAATTGAGATCATCATTGGGTGTCATCTCTTGGTCCTGTTGAATTATAGCATCGGACTTCTTTTTTTTCTTCCTCTTTCTTTGGTTGTTCTTTTCTTCACTGCCCTTATCTGACAGGTTAGAAGAAGTTAACACATTTTTCAAAATTGACTCTCTTTTGTCCTGATCTGATGGCTTAGATTCTGGAGTAAGCACTGGTTGGGCATCATTATTCAGCAATGAATTCGGGATTTCAAGAGGAAGCTCATGAGGTGCATCTTTGTTGTGCTTCAATTTCCGCTTTTTAGTCACAGGTCTTTCCTTTGAACTGTCACCACACATGTCATCCCTGAGCTCATGGCTAATTGTGTCAACTGCTTCCTCTTGAGCAACCATCCTAGGGGCTATCTTTCTCTTGGCTGAACTTCTGCAAGTGTCAGATGACAGATCTTTACAGTGCTCATCTTTGGCACGTGCAGTGTCAATTCCTAATTCTCTTGAGGGGCCATTGGGAAGACCACGGTCCAGAGCACCTTCATCATAACGTTTCACGCAAAGCAACCCTGCTTGGTTGTTACCAGCTTTCGTGGTAATCTGGCTTGCCGCAACAGGACTGCTGACATAAAGGAACCAGTCTCCTTTGGTGCCTTCAAATGCAGTTTTTACAAGCATCGAATCCGGCAGATGATAAAAATTGCCTTTCCGTTTTACCTGTCATAAATATTATATAAGAAAACAAAAAATATGAAAAAAGTAATCAAAAGGGTACATTTCTGTAAAGTCTGGAAGCAAATGTAGAGGAATTAGACCTTCACAGAGTGGATCTTTATCTCTCCCATCTCAGGAAAAGAATGCAAGTGTTCAAATAATATCTTCTCTGCGTCCCAAAAACACAAAGGCAATTTTTTGTTAATTTTGATAACTCAGCACACTTTTACTGCATAGGGAACTTCAGAGATCTCCTTTTCCATCGATTTAATTCATACCAAAATCAGTATAATACCACTATTCAAACAACAAATGAAAAAAAAGACTATCATAAAATTTCTCCACTAAACACGAGATTTTTTTTAAAATAGGGTAACAAATTACAGCCGAATCAATCAATCAACCAAGAACATATGCACTTACTTTTGAGGTCGGATACAGCATCAGTATTGGATACCATCATCGCGAGGTGAGTTTCAAGGTCGGTGTCTATGAAAACTGAATGGTGCGACGCCGCTGGTGCAGGCACGATTGCCGCGCCGTCGTCGGAATCTGCCTCCTCCCGACGACGTTTTGCCATTGATTAGAAGGGTGCTGGCACTTGTTTGGAGCTGCTAATCCCGCGATTGAACACGAGGGAAGCTTAACGAGCAGCTTTGCCTGCTTTGGAAACCCTATCATGCCCTAGAAGAGGTTTTAGAAATGGGGAACAAAAATACCTAAAACAAACAACCCCTTCGTTCCCATGACATTGGTTCCCAATAGGCCTGGACACGGTACCGGTGCGGTACCGTCACCGGCGCCGGTACCACCCAGTACCGAATACCGTCACCGGAGACGAGCAACCGGTACCTGGAACCGGTACCGGTACCGCCCTCACCGATACCGTGTCCGGTTCCCAATTTTCGTCACCGGCACCGCCGGTACCGGTACCGGTTCCGGTGCCGGTTTAGTTTTTTTTTTCTTTTTTTTTTTTGCTCCTGCCATCA